AGTGAAAACTGGGCCTTCCTGTTCGGCACACTACGCAAGTTTGTTCTGTTATGGTTTATTTTGCTATGATTGGTGTTTTTTTTTTCCTGAACTCACCATGTTTAGTGTGTAATATTGACCAATCCTGCGCACAAGACTGAAAGAATCTCTCGAAGTGCTGTCTTGACAGAAGCCCACGAGGCTATCCCTCTATGTGTTCACTTGACTTTTTTTTTTTTTTTTTTGTATCTGAAGTCGTTACAAGGTGGGCGGAAAAAAAGAAATACTGATGACCTCATCCCAAATGAGTTTTTCTCCAAAGGTTCTTAGTCTGGTCGCTGGCATACATAGATGAACAGAGACGCTTTATTTGTAGTACATAATCATTATTGGAGTGATTGAGCAATGCGTGACCTTCAACCCCCTCAGCCACGCCCACAAGAACACGGTGATGGAGGTGAAGTGGAACAGTAACGGCAACTGGTTGCTGACGGCGTCGCGCGACCACCTCTGCAAACTATTTGACATCCGCAACCTGAAGGACGAGCTGCAGGTGTTCCGAGGACATAAGAAGGAAGCCACCGGTGAGCCAACGCACAGATCACCTGTCCTAAACCTTTTCCCAAAGTCCGCCTCGTCATCCTAACAGAATCGCAATCACAATGCCAATGAAGCAGACTGACGCTTTCCTTTTTCTTGCGCGTCCTCAGCCGTGGCCTGGCATCCCATCCACGAAGGGCTGTTTGCCAGCGGAGGTTCCGATGGTTCTTTGCTTTTCTGGAACGCGGGGTAGGGAACATGCCAGGGATTCCCAGCCAGCTTTTATTGTGAAAGTTTCAACGTGCATTTTGTGCGTGCGTGTTTCAGGGTGGAGAAGGAAGTGGGAGGCATGGAGATGGCGCACGAGGGGATGATTTGGAGTTTGGCCTGGCACCCACTCGGTCACATCCTCTGTTCGGGATCCAATGACCACACCAGGTAGCACTTACTATATGGCTGCAACACACAAACTACATGGGTGGAACATGGTTGCTCAAAAACTACACATGTAGTGATATGTAGACTTTTCTGATATTTTGCATTTTGTGCACATTTCTTTGATCGTCCGTAATGTATATAATTCGCCACTCGTTTCATGTGTGCAACCTGGCCGAAATCTTCGACACTAGTGTCACATGACTACAACATAACATACCCACAACGAACATGCTGACTGCACGTGTGCAACCACAGGCCGAAAGTGACTCTATGCTCCGTGTTTGTTAGCAAATTCTGGACCAGGAATCGTCCTGGCGACAAAATGAGGGACCGCTACAACCTCAATCTTCTACCTGGCATGTCGGAGGACGGTGTGGAGTACGGTCAGTAATGTAGCGTCACCAAGTGGATGACACACGTGCACACACGGAACCAGTCGCTTGTTTGTTAACTCGGACAAAGAAGAACGTTGTTCACCAATGTGACTAAGCTGCTTGTTTCTCGGCATGGATGGGGGAGGGGAAACGTTTCTTAGCATGTTTGCTGGTCTGGCTACCACTTGTTAGCATTCTGGCTAACGTGGCTAATGTAGTATGTGGATTAGCACTATCCCCACATTGAAAGAATAATCGTTTATTCAAATAATCATGAGTCGGAGCTGTAAAAATGAGTAGTTAGCGGTGGTGTAGCTGTGGTCTCATATGTGCGTGTCTGTGTGGTGATGACAGATGACATGGAGCCAAACAGCATGGCCGCCATCCCTGGAATGGGAATTCCCGAGCAGCTGAAGATCGCCATGGAGCAGGAGCAGAGTCGTAAGTTCTCTTTGTGGAATATGTCAAGTGTTTGTATTCAACAAAGCAAAGCAAAAAATTTAAGAAAGCAAACGCGCCGCATTGTGTCCAGACAAGGAGGCGGGGCCGGAGGAAATGTCCATCCCCGGACTTGACTGGGGTATGGAGGAGGTGATGGGCAAGGACAACAAAAGGGTCCCGCAGAAGAAAGTCCCCTACGCCAAACCCATCCCAGCACAGTTCCAGCAGGTCAGCTTGTGCTTGTCTCAATCGCACATTTCGTTCACACCAGTCAGTCGGTCGCAACTTAAACGTTGCCATATTCTGAATCTGGAAACCTCGGCCCCTTTTCCTCAGGCCTGGGCGGAAAATAAAGTTCCTTCCATGCCCCCTTCTGGGGACGGCCCCAAAGAACGCAAGGTGGAGCCCAAAGTGGACGGCAAGAAGAAAAGTCAGGTGGAGCTGGAGCAAGAAATGGCGGCGCTGCAGTATACTAACCCCAAGCTGCTGGAGGTGAGTGACGTGGGTGGCGGGGCGCACGTGCATGTGCCATGTACTGATTGGCCCCTGTCTTTCTGCAGCAGATGAAGATGGAGCGCATTAACCAGAAGAGCTCGGACGGCCCCCAGCAGGGACCGTGCCCCATGCCCCCCTTCTCAGGCCCCGCCGGGCAGCAGAACTTTGCTCCTCCGCAGTCCAACAACATGGGCCCCCCACCTTTAGGGCCCTCTTTCATGTCTCCCGCTCAGATGGGTGCTTCGTCTGGGCACGGGCAGGGCATGATGGGCCCGCCGGACATGCAGAGACACCCCGCCACTTCCAGGAACATGAGCACTCAAGGACCTCACAACATGGGGCCCGGAGCCAGAGGAATGCCAGGCCCTCACGGGGGCATGATGGGGCCCCCCGCTAGAGGGATGGGGCCACGGGACCTGCAGGGCCCTCTGCCTCAGGGAGGCATGATGCAGCCGCCATCTCAAGGAAACATGATGGGACCTCAGGGGGGGATGATGGGACACCCATCCAGGACACATAATAACTTTGGGATGGGGGGGATGCACGGACCTCTGCCAAGTAACATGCAGGCGCCCCCCTACATGCAGCACCAGGTGAGCGAGTGGCACATCGTGTCGCCACGCGTGAGATGTGTTGCTCTGGCGTGTTCCACCTGACCCCGTGCTCTTTGGTGCTTACAGGCTCCGACTTCGGGGCCCCCCATGCACGGGAGGGGTCAGCAGGGCCCCAACAACAAAGGTGAGCCGTGTGCTTTGGGCTCGTCGAGGCTTGCAAAACTTAAAAAAAAAAATATGGATTTTTGAATTTTCAGATCCATGACATGCGCAAAATGGCTTTATCTGTGTTCGTTTGTTTTCAATCAATGTATTGTCATTTACTTTATTTGTTAAATGTATTTGATTCCATAGAAGAAAAGCCAGGCATTTGTTTTCATTAATATGCCCGCCTGGAATGAAAAGAAGCAGAGAGAGGATAAAACCTGATCCTTGCTGACACTTGGATCAGGAAATAGCAACTTTTCACATTGAAATGCGTTGATACGTCCATTATAATCGGGGGTGCCTGCAAGAGGTGCACAGATGTAGTGAAAATAGTCCTGTGTGTACCAGATTCGATTAATCCCATGTGCATTTGTCTTTCAAACGTTTTGCAGTCCAGTAATAGTAGGCAGGGCTGTGAGTCCACTTCAAGTCAAGTCAAAGGGAATTCAGCAGCCTTGATTGCTTGTTAGGGTTAACTTCAGAATAAAAGACCAGTGAAGGCGTCCATGTCCAGTGTTACTTGGCAATGTTTTATTTTGAAGTTGGCATCGCGACATCACAGTGTGAGCAAGCGAGAGATTGCTGGCTTAACTTGACTCTCTCGCAAACCGGTGTCGTCGGTGGTTGAATGCAGCGACTCGTCGGCGGTGTCGCTGCGTATTCTTTTTCACGCTCCATCAAAATATGTCTCTCAAGTTTAAACCTTGCATGCTTTTTTTTTTGTAATCAAGCATACTGAGTGACGATGCTAAAGTTGCATCTTGCTCTTCCTCAGACCCCCGGGGGCCGGCCCCCAACCACCACATGGGACCTTCGGATCGCCAAGGTGCAGTAGGGCACGAGCACTTCTGGGGGGATGGACAGCATAAACCGCAGGACTTTGACGGGGGCCAGGACTTCCACGGCCGAGGGGAGGAGGCCTGGAGACCTGGACCTGTCTTTCCGGGGGCGGCGGGTCATCGAGTCGGGGCGGGTCCCCGAGGAGGCGTGGTGGTGGCGGCCAACTGGGGTCCCGATGACCGGCCCCCCCGAGACACGGGAGACTTCAGAGGCCGGCGAGATGACAGGTGAGCCACACTAATTTTCCGTTACAGATTGGAACCCAAAGCGCTGAAAAAGTCAATGATTCAGGTTCAGGGGAGGTCCGGGACGGCCCGGAGGTCGAGTCTACCCTGAAGAGTATGGAGCCCAGGAGGAGGGCTTTGACGCCCCCGAAGACCTGAGGGGCTGGCCCAGAGGTGGGCCCCCACCTCGAGGAAGTACGGTCACACTTTTGATTTGGTTATCGGGGTCCCTGCCGACTTTGTGTGCTTACTGTGCTGTGGGATGTGTTGAGGTCATGACGGCTACCGTGATGGACCCCCAATACACGATGGCGCGTCCGCGGCAGGCCGTGAGCGGTCGATGTCTCTGCAGGGGATGGACATGGCGTCGCTGCCACCACGGAAAAGACCCTGGCAGGACGGCCCAGGAACGGCTGACCTCAGAGAACGAGATGGACCGGGCTTAGACGCAGGTCACTTTTGATTGACGTTTGCTTGACTAACGCTTGAATTGAAATCAAGGGTCATAAGGTTTTAAAGAATAACAAGGCCTGCGTGTCCGCCGGCCCACAGGTCGACCTCAGCGGGACGATGGCTACGGCCCGCCTGTGCGGGGAGCGCGGGGCGGCTGGGGGCCCAGTCTCAGAAGAGGAGGGCCCCCCATGCGCAGCGCGCCAAGGGGCCGCGGCCGCTAGACGACATGATCATGGGACTTCATCGGCTGCCAATTTTTTCTTGTCGTTTTTGTTTTCTTTTTGTAAGAAATTTCTATGTTTTGTCTTTTCACTGACTGGACAATAAACACCGACGTGGAAGCTTTGAATCTTGCTCAATGACTTGATTGTGTTATTTCAGGTGAATTGGGCTTGTGAAAATCTGCCCCCGCCAAATAACACAGTTGACAGTTTTCTTTTTCCATGGCAATTATAATGGGAATCAATTATTCAGCTGAAAACATTCAAATCCAAAAATAGATAGGCTGAGGTTTTTGGTCCTAAAAAACATACTGTACTGAAGTTAAACAATGCTGAACTGCACTACTGTACATGTAAAGTCAAAAACTATATGGTCATTTACAGCAAGAGTCTTAAATAGTCGTTTAATGACTCCGAGCTTCATTTGAACGCGGTTAATTGTATTTATTTCAGTGATTCAATCTCGTCCCTTAATGGCCAAGTCACTGTCCGGGCCGCCAGTATGAAGCGAAGTGTGAAGGGTCCCTTTTGTCCAAGTTGGCTTTGTCCCCGCAAAAGGCACTTGGCACGTCGTGACGTCGTCGGTTACCGGTCCGATGGGTTCCGCTCAGATCACCATGCTTTTCCCAGTCACGGTCCTTTTGATGGTGGACGCGGCCACGCTGCCCACGAATCGGATCCCCGCGGTGCCTCCAGGGAGCAGCGACACCACGTAGCCAACCAGGATGACGACCTGCGCGGCAGCCCCGAGAGCCGTCAGCACGGTGCTGTGAAGGCTCATCGCGGCGTACAGCGTCCCTATGAGGGCGCAAAGGTACACGGCGGCCCCGGGCGAGCCGGGCAGGCTGGCGGCGAGTCTCCCGGGTCCCCGCAGAACAGCCACGGCCGCAATGGCGAAGGCCGAGCCAAGCGACCAGAGTAGCGCGAACTTGCGGGCGTAGAGCAGCAGCAGCGGTGCATATAAAGCCGACAGGCCGAAGCACAGCGCTGACAGGGCGGCAAACATCCCGGAGATTGCTAGCCGCTGGCGACGACTCACACCCGGCAGGCACGGGTCCGGGTCGGACGACCACGGCCAACTCCCGCCGGAGCTCGGAGCCGCCGAGGTCGAGGAACCGCCTCCCCCGGACCACGGGCTGGACCAGCGTCCGAACCAACTCCCAGGAACGGGCTCGGGGTCGCCGAGCTCCACCGCGGTGCTGGATCCAGAATGCGACGATGCGGGGGCGGTCTTGCCTCTGGACTGTGACAAATACTCCTGAAGCTGCCGGTTCAACTCTGCCATAACGACAACGCTCAGAGTCCGAACGCTGCTACTACTATGCTAATTACAATGCAAGATGTTTTCCGCTTGCGTCTCCTCGCTCATTTCTTCTTCGCGGGCTCTGTCGGTGATGTAGCGACCCCTGCAGGATGAAAGAACGCGACACGATAAAACCCCAAACTTCTCCAATCTCATATTTGATATCGTCACCATCCAAAAATAATCGCCCAACTCACCTTTTCCCTGAAAATACAAACCAAATATTGATTCTAATATATTTATAAATAATTTAATTTCAGGTGTATGATTGAATGATCCGTCTAACTATCGGATTTAGCCCCTTTTTGCAGAGGTAGTGAATGTCCCGAGATATTTCATTGTTTATTTTTTTGTTTTTTTTGTTTGGGGGGGGGTTATTATAAGAAGGTGACGATATACTATGATGGTTTCAGTCCCTCAATCTAAAAAAACCCCAAACAACTTGAGTTGGTGACTAAACAGAAGTCTCTTCGAGTATGTTTGAATAGTTTAAATTCGTAGACTGTGTCCTCCAAAGGCCCAATTTCTCGGCTAAATGACGTAACGTCGTGTTCGCATCGCTCAAATTCCCGCGGGCTTCAGATCCGGCCTTCGTTTCCAATGGAGACGGGTGCGTAAAGAGAGCCTCGGATCGGAATACACTTTCCTGGCCAACCTTATTCTGCTCTTCTGCATTTCAAGGTTTCTCCTACCAGCTTCTACCACAATTTACCGCCGTCTAGCGGCGATACAGAAAATAATCAAGTGAGAGTGAGTACCTGGCTGTTAGCAAGCAAAAGCAAATCAGTTAGTTAGAAGTCGACTGTGAAAGAGTACACAAAAGAAAAGTGCCTTATATATCAATTGAAGCGCCCCAAAACGTGCCTTTTTAACTTTAGGCTTCCTCTTTCTTTGTTATGAGTGTGATGAGCAAGTTTCGGAATATCTTTGCACTTTATTTCATGAATGTTAGTCTGTGACGTCACGTGTGTAGTTCAGGCTCAGCTGTTCGTCTAAATTTCCCCCGCCGTCACACTCTGTCTTTGCCTGCGATTGAGAGACAGCAAGAGCAAGAGACGACGAAGTCCAGCAGGTACTGCACGCACACACAACATGAATATGGATATGTTACAATTACGCTATGTTGTTAAACAGGCATTTTTAGATTTAGGTGTAAAGGGTGATTAAGAAAATAAGTTATGGATATATTTTGGATCGTCAAATAAAATGCTGAAGGGGCTGATCTGCAGCCAAACACATTTTTGACGGAGCTACAGCGCCCACTAGTTCCAGCCTTGTCCTTAAAAGAAGTTAAGGCGCCCATTTGTTTGTTGGTTCGCTGATTTTTGTTGAAACTCAATGTGCGCGCCTCGCGCGCGTGCGTCGTGGCTCAGTACCAAAGTTGTCAAACGTATCATTGTTATTACAAAACTTTTTATCCTACAGTAAACATGTTATCATCCTATTGTTATGCAATGAACACGCATTAATGCCATTATTCCATAATGATTAAAAAGTGATCAAACGTGACCGTACGTGCTACGGTCATGCGATTAACCATGATTGTAGTATTTTATCGCCATGTTACAATGTGATCGGGTTTTAATGCTAATAGCATGATGAAAACATGTTTTTATTGTGGTGTACACATGATACAGTCCTCGAAGGGGCTTACGGCGTGCCATGAGCGTGACGTGTGTTTTGCTTTGTCAGCGGCATGTCCTTGTGCGAGATCACGCCCACCCTGTTCCTGGGCGGGGCGGACGCCGCCCTGAATGGTGCCATGGTGACACGAAAAGGCATCACCCTGATGGTCAACGCCACGCTAAACCACCCTTGCCCCGTCTACCCGGGCGTGCAATTCCTGCGGGTGCCGGTCCGCGACCTGCCAGACGCTCGCCTGGGGGACCACTTTGATCCGGTGGGCCGGCGTATCCACAGCAACCGCACGGGAGGCACCCTGGTGTACTGTGCTGCGGGCAGGAGCCGCTCTCCCGCCCTGATCATGGCCTACCTCATGAGGTACCGCGGGGTCACCCTGCGCCAGGCCCACCTGTGGGTGCGCAACAGCCGACCCTGCGTCAGCATTAACATCGGATTCTGGGAGCAGCTGCTTAGCTATGAGAGGCGACTGTACGGGGACAACACGGTCAGGATAGAGCCCACGCTGCCCGTCGCTGAAACCCGTTTGCCTTCCGCCTTGTCGCGCTACAGGTGGTCGGACAAGTCGCACCAGCAGTCGCCTGTGGTGACGTCACAACACCGGTCACCCAGGTGGCCCGTCGGGACTTCGCGGCACAAATTGACGAGCAAATTGCTCGGGTTGCAGTTTGTGACGTCACTTGAGCGACTGAACAAGTCACCTGGCTAGACGTCACTTGCCCCGCCTCCTCCATGACTTGGTGAAGGTGGCGAAGTTTTCTAAAATCTTGTTCTTGCACACTTTTAGTCATTTTAGTAAGATAATTTTGATTTCTTTACTTTGCCTTTAAATCTGCTTTCAAATGTGCTTTGAATTACAGTATTTGAAGCAAATTGAATTACTTTTTGTATGAAATGCGCTATAAATCAGTGATTCTATTTTTCTTTACATACTGAAAAAAAATATATATATATATATATATATATATATATATATGCTTCTGCTTCTGCTCTTTCCGCAATTAAATAAATATTATAAATGATACAGAGCCTCATGTTGATTCTTCATCAATATCTTAGTCTTACTGTTTGGTGCTTTCGACCGGTTTTGTTATTAATTTGTTGTTTTATTGTTGTATATATGATATTTGCTCCATGTACAACACTTATACAGTGATGGTGGTTTTAAAGTGCTCTATAAATACGGTTGAGTTGAGTTGAGTTGAGAAAATAACAAAAATAAAAAATTTAAAAAAAGCATTACAACAATCAAAAGATGATGTCATGTTGGTCCAGCAGAAGATGATGACATGTGGGTGATGCAATAATAAGTGTGTGGCACGCCTATGAGGGTCTTTGAGGGAACATTTCATCAGACTGGCCCCTCCACCCCTCCCCCTTATCTCCAGCATTTGTGCGCGCTTGGGTGTATAAATGCGTGTGTATTGAGCGTCTGGCAGATAAAAGAAGGAAGCGACAGTTGTGCCATGATGATGAAGAGCAGAGGAGAAAGTGAGCCTTTCCACCTTTCTTCCCACGGAGCGAGTGGTCCAAACATGAAGAGATGGCCGTTCCCTGTTGGATGTCGCACGATGATGATGACGATCACGATGGTGACCATGATCGTGAGCAGCAGTCAGGAGGATGCGGTGCTCAAGGATGATCAGGTGGTCCAGGTAAAAAGCACACACACACACACACACACACACACACACACACACACACACACACACACACACACACACACACACACAATCACATTAACCTAAACTAGCTACTTCAATGCTTAATAAAACCACAGGCACACACGGGCTAACAATTACCACCTCTGTGGCACTATTGTTTGTATTACAGTAATCACAGACATATATTCTTTATCTGCTGCCAAGAGCAACCAAAATGGCTGCCGTACTGAGAATTCAAGACGACTGTATGTTTGCTCGTGAACAGACACAATTAGTTTTTGGGCCTTGAAAGTTGATTTGCATTCAGTTCAACAGAGGAAGATGATTTGGCATCTTTTGAGTTCGGAGTGTGGGCAAGTAAAAAATTTAACTGATCTGGAGGCAGGCCTCTCAAACACAACTTGTATGCAGATGGATTCTGGCTGCATCAAGTGTTAATCAAAAAAGTAGTTGGTAAGCAGCTGCAAGTGACTTACTCTGATAGCTTTCCTTCCTCCAGGATTGGCCGCCCTTGGGCAACTCTCCAGTTCCGCCACCTTTACCACCTTCGCCACCTTCGCCTCGGACTTCCTGGCTCATGTTCATCAACAACTCCGACATGCGCAAAAGCTCCCGAAAACTGGATAAGGTGACTTGCAAGCTGACAATCATCATCAGACTGACACAAATGGGCTTCCACTCATGCATGCACTCTCACCCGCACTTTCTTCCACACCCACTCAATTTCACAACACACACACGATGGTGGAGGCCTTTTGTTGACAAACTTTCAGCCTACGACGTGATGGTAGTGCTGACGTCATCATCATGGTGGCGATGTCATGATGTGTGCAGCATGTCCTCCAGAGACCTCCAAGACCTCGTGGCCCTTCGGCGCCCCGACTGCATTCAAAACAGCTCATCGACGACTTGCACGGCCCGCTCACCGGTAGGGTCACAGCCAACCAATTATGCTAAGCTAGCACAGTGTGTCCGTGAGTCGGCATGTACATGGATGTGGGCGTGTCTGTGTGTGTTTGAAGCAGCGTATGCAAGTGCGCATGTGTTTGTGAGTGCAAATGTGGATTTGTGTGTGTGTGTGTGTGTGTGTGTGTGTGCAAACATTTCTTCTCATCAGCGGCCTGCATTCCTTGTCAATGCCTCGCGTGTTGCAGGCGTGTCTTCCAAAGTGTTTTGCGAGTTGTGCAAGTGCCCCCCTCGAATCTCCGCCTCCTTCTTTGGCCGCCTCCCCCAAGTGGTGCGAGTGGCTCGTCGCAGCCTGATGGAGCTTCACCCCTTCAGTCAGGTGACGTCATTCCAAAACGACCCGCTGGACAGATAGGTGACGCCTGTGACCTCTGACCCCACAGGCCCCGCCCTCCGTATGTGCTTTTCAACGAGGTCGCAGCGTCAACAATACCCACGGACGCTACACTGCCACGATAACTGGATTTTACCTGCTGAGTGCCCGCCTCCGCCTGAGTTAGTCACGTGTGACATCATCATATTCTTCATCATCATGCACACACCTGACCAATGTTTGAGTGGGCTTGTGTCTGTACATATGTGTGTAAATTTACCTGACTGTGTGCATGTGTTTGTGCGTGTTTATGTTCATGTGCGTTCGTGTCTGCGCAAGTGTGCGCATGTTTGCGTCCGCGCATACCTGTACATTTTTGTGTCTTTGTACGTGTGTTTGTAATTACATTTGTGTGTGTGTGTGTGTGTGTGAAGAGTCAAGTGAGCGCGTTCAGGTGCGACTGCACGAGAGCGTGAAGGCGGCCATCTGCGTCGAGTCACTCTGTCACACTAAACTGTGAGTACGTTGTGTCCGTGTGCCTCGTCGTCACGGTGGTCTCTGAGTGCACGGGCATGTGTGTGTTCCAGCTCCATTGAGTCAGTGGTGGGCGTGGCCAGTGTGGGAGCCGACTTCAGCATCACTCTGACCGGAACACTCTTCTTACAGGTCGTTTAGCTTCATGCTAAGGCTAACGTATGCTAATGAGCATGCGCATTGGTTGGAAGTTTTATGGAAATCAGGTAGAACCACGGCAAGAGGGCAGGAGAGAGTTGGAGAGTGACTCCATAAAGTTGTCAACTTCAACAACTTCAAATCAGGTAGAACCAAGGCAAGAGGGCAGGAGAGAGTTGGAGAGTGACTCCATTTTGTTTGTGGCTTAGGCTGGCGAGTACGCGTCCGTCTACGTGGACAACGCCACCGGCGCCAACATCAGCGTCTTGCCTGAATCGTTCTTCTCCACAATCCTGCTGGGAAGTTGAACCCGCATCACTTCCTGTCGAGCGCCGTTGTCACTCCTGCTGGATATGGTCTAACTTTGATGAAGTAGTTGAGCGGGCCTTTGTGGGTGTTCGTTTCTTGCACGACAAGCAAGTGCAGGCTGTGTGGGTTGCCTGACGTCTGTCTTTCCCGCAATTCGCATGGGTCGGCTTGCACGTGCCGCAAAATGACTTGCTTTTACATCTTCACGATGCTCACCAGCAGCTCGTTTTGTCCAAAAGATAAAACAAACGTTCCTGTCTGGAAAACATCTTTAATAAAAAAATAACACACACAAAAGTTACGAGTGTTACACTTTGACGTTTCACAGATATTTGCTTTCATGACATAATAACCATTCAGGCTGCAACTAACGACTATATTTAATAATCTGTCGATGATTGCTTTGACTAAAAAATACAAATCCATCCCTTGTTTCCTAAAACAGGACATGATTTCAAATTCACAGTGCAGAAGATAAATTGCGAACAGAAGTTGACGATTCATTTCCTGGTTTGGCCCATTACATCCCTTCATAAAATCGGTGAAAAATGTTGATGACGCTTGTCCACATAAAAGCAGATACTTTCAAACATCTTCGTCAAAAAAGACGTAATCATGCTATGCATAAACATGAATGTTAGTGTCATTTACGATTTTTAGTCAATATATATGTCGACACAGCTTACCTATTGAAATGTTTGATGCGCCTTTGTTGTCGCACTTTGTCTTGTTAACGTTTGAATTTTGTGCATTTGGAACATTGACATCGTTTCAGTCTGTGTTTGCTCATTTTTGTTATCGGAACTTGCTAATCGAGCCGCATTTACTAGCATGTGTGAAACAAATTCATGTAGAGGCCCAAAAAAAGTTAACGAATGCTGACGGTTGCTGTCTCATACACAAGTTAGCACGTTACGCTTGGGTTTCAAACCCTTCTGATTTTTTTTGTAGTCCACATTAAAGCTGGAATTTCGAACATTTTTATGTTTTAAAACTCAAGCCACTACTAGTGGAGATGATACAATGCTGGTTAAGCCTTCAACATTTTGCTGTATTTTTCAACATTAGATTCGGTGTCTGTCCACTAAACACTCACAAACACGCTCCGATTTTTTTGTAACGACTGCAACTGTCGGTGACTGAGTTAACATAATTACCACGTGGCTAACAATTAGCGGGCTCGTTCCCTTTCGTTTGCAATAAAACAAACTCAAGGCATCTTCTTGTAATGCAGTCTTCCACCAGAGGGGGGCGACAGAACTTAAGTTGACGATAGTCAATTCAACGACTACTCGGTAACATTATTGATCCTTTTCTTTAAGTCTCAACTTGCTGCGTCGTGCCTCTCAAGTCCAAATGCTGACTCATTCGCCCACCCTGCTTTTCACAAATGTCAACCCTTCACCTGTGCTACGTGGACTGTTGCAATAGTTTTCCAAGCTGCCACCCTGAAGGCATGTGGGTGTGTCCCGCCGTGAGCTCTTTAGAAGACGGGAGGCCAAACGGCAGTTGGAAGGTTTGCCTTACCCCTACATGGGCATGACCAAGATAGTGTAAAAACCAGCAACTCTTCCGCATGTGATGGAAAAAGGGACCACAGCAGCGTATCAACATTTCAGGCATCCACTGAATAGTCCAATTGAGAATATACAGTAGACTAATGCTAGTTACTGATAGTACAGCAAACATTGAAGACAAAGAGTTGGTGAAAGTTGCCCAAAGGTTTTCACTAACACGCGGCGCTGCGCATCCGGTATTGGAAGCGCACGTCGCGGGCGGGCCGCGGGATGCCGAGGCCCGCGCGGCTGGCGTCAGGGCGCGCGTCGGGCTGTCCCGTTTCGAGTCGCAAATCAAAGTACAGCAGCAGCAGACACACAAACTGCTTGATCTCGTTGACAGCGAAGAAACGTCCGGGACAGATGGATGCTCCCGAGCCGAACGGCATCAGGTAGTGGCGAAGTTTTTGCCCGTTTTTGAAGAATTCCGTCTGACGGGCGAAGCGGTCGAAGCAAAATGTCTGATGGGACAAAAAAAAAAAAAAAAAAAAAAAAAAAAAAAAATGGGG